TTACGATGTCAATTAGATCCATATTGGTCTTTTCATCAACTACTCGAACATGTCCAAGACATAACAACAAATAGTATGAAGTACTCATATTTTCCACTTCAACTTATTCTTAATCAACATCCACATATTTCAAAACATGCATTTCTCGATACATCTATGGAATTTAAATCATACCAGAATAATAATACAATGATGATTGGTGATTCTCAACTTGTTCCAATATCTTTCGCATTCAACGATAATGAAGATGAGATATTAAATACATCCGACTTTTCTCTTTCTATTTATCAGGATATGAACATGAATCAACTGTCATGCACAATCAATGCATCACTTGACTTGTTCAATCGAGAAACGGTAGAGAGGATTTCTCAACGGTTTCATTCAATGCTGAATCAATTACTTACATCTGTTGATGATCAAATGAATAAATCAATCTATGAAGTATCGTTAACACTACCAAGTGAAAGATTAGTCATGCAATCAATGAATAATATACAAATATCATTTTCATCTCCTCTCACTTGTATCCATCATGAGTTTGTATATCAAGTAATGAGACATCCACAAAAACTAGCAGTTGAACTCGATGAACAATCATTGACATATTGTGAACTGCTATATTATGTCCAAGTCTTATCTTTCAGTCTTCTTAATGAATATCTTATCACTCCAGGTGAGGTCGTGTGTCAATGTGTTGAGAGAAGTTTGTCAATGGTAAGTTAATCAAGATGAGTAACAATTAATGTGAGTTTGAGATTGGTTTTGATTAGGTGATTGGAATGATGGGAATTGAGATGGCTGGCGGTGTTTATTGTCCATTATCACCTCGAGATCCACAACATCGTTTGGATGCACTCACACATCAAACAGGAAGTCGTCTTGTTCTTGTTCATTATTTAACTAAGATCAAATTTGATCACGACATTGTTTCACTTGATATTGATTCAATAGTATCGGACAACGAGAGAGGGAGTAAAGGTGACATTGATGGGCTATCAAATGTTTCAGTAGCATCGAAGAGTATGGCTTATATCATCTTCACAAGTGGATCCACTGGAGCGCCAAAAGCGGTGAGTTATTAAAGAAATCATGATTGAATATGATCATGTTAATTTATTTTCGTTCAGGCTCAATTTCGACATCGAAATTT